TAGAACAGATTACAATGATTCGCTCTGAAAATGGTACGAAACAAGGTGGCACACATGTTTTGAGATGAAGGTGTTGCGCTGGGCTATATCATGCAATCAAAAGTGAAACTTAACCTTGCTCCATTGCGGAGATATTCCCGCGAGAGTGCGGAAAACTTTAAATGTATTTATTTATTTCAAATGTGAAATTGTACCAATATACTCACGGACCACTAGGGGGCGCTTTGAGAAGCACTGAACTAGATTATTAAATGTTCTGTAATGACAATAGCATCATTCACAAGTGGTATATCCATGTTTTCCTATAGTCTTTGTTTTTAAATGTATCTTGCCGTAAAAAAAAAAATCATATTTCAGAGTTTGGCCATCTGCCGTTTTGAACATCCAGCAGTGAGAATATCAAATGGATTATCATCCCATTGTAAAATACTGGATTTAAATCAACCTGTAAATGTATTTTATTGAATGAATCCTCTCCTTCCTGAAAGCAGCGATGACTAAGCGCAGGCTAAATGTTTCAATGGAAACTCCACTTGCCTGATATTGCAAGATGGCGTCCTCAAAGCGGCTGACCTCATAGTTCTCTGCATTGTAGTATTTCACCTGTGGAACAGATCAAATAAGAACAAAAAAGTTGACATTTTCTGGAATCATTTGACATTAACTGACTATAAAATGTTTTTCTTGTACCGTCTCGAAGTTCAACAAGGAGTCCACAGCTTTGGTCTTAGTTTTGTTGTCCAGCTGGTTCATCTCTCGCCTGTACTTGGTCCTCCACTCAGTGATGATGATGGTCAGAGCTGGGAGAAATATAAACAGGCAATAAAAAACCTTATGGGGAAAATGTGTAGTTTTTAGTAAACATACAGAATTTGAGATAGCTTACTGAGGTACAGGGCCATGCAGACGAACACGATGAGGCCGAACCAGGCGTTGAAATACGTAATGAAGTAAATGATAGAAATGATAATATCAGCGAAGGTTGGGAGGATGCTGAACACTATGTAGCTGTAGGGAACATCAAAGAGTCAATTATTCATTGAAATTGAAGGAAAAATAATGGGTCTATTTCTGGCCATCGTACCTGAGGAGGCTGTTGATGGAGGACGTCCCGCGGTCGATGCTCCGCAGAACGTCGCCTGTTTTGCGACCCAGGTGCCAGCGCAGGGAGAGGGAGTGCAGGTGGCCGAAGAGACGCACCTGCACCACGCGGTTAGTGAACTGCTGCACCCGGATCCACAGGAAGGAGCGCAGGTTACTGACGAAACCAGAGGACCCTGGGAAGAGGCGGAGAGAGCGGCTTGGTCACACCCCATCACTACCCCCACGTTGGAGTGTGATTAGAGACAGAACATCAATGCATGAGTGGTCTGAGTTGCTCCTACCTGCACCGCCACCCTGCAACAGCTTCAGCAGGACATAAATACACACTGTGGTGGCCAGAGTCCTCCAGCTGCTGCCATCAGTCAGCTCATTCACTGAGAAGGAGACCAGAGAAAAGCAAAAATCAGGTGTTTGGCTTGAAGATAAGGGAGGAACTTGGAATCGTGTTTTTATTTGATCTCATCCCACATCCTGAGGAACTTTGTCTGCAAGCTACCACCTCTATTTTTAACATTGGTACGTTTTGTGAGGCTCTTGAGGCATGACATCAAACTGAATTTAAAGGAATAACACCATTAGCTTGTTGTTAGCTTGTTGCAGCTCTGAAATAAACACCAATGACTCACCAATATTCTTGTAGTAAATGGGAACAAAGACGTTAATGGCTCGCTCGAATCCCAGCAGCGTGAGACAGAAGAGGACCAGCATCTGGAGGAAGACGTTTCCTCGGGGCCACATGTAGGGCACCAGCAAGCGGGCCTTCTTGGTGAAGCCCTGCCAGGTGGACTGGTTCGGTTCTCCGCCCAGCAGGCTCTGAGATACACAAACATATTAAATACTCTACCGGACATGATTGAAAAAAAGGAAGAAATTAACATTGGTGCAAGAAGTGTTCATATATTTTACTTAAGTATAAGTAGTAATACCACAGTCTACATACTCCACTTTAGGTTAAGTATAGAAGTTACTATCTGAATGTACTCAAAGGGTAAAGTATGCAGAATCCAGTCATAAAGTTAAAAGTAAAAAATATGTTGTTATGCATTAAAGTGTAGCATCCTATGTTGAAAATGTTTCTATTATTTATGTTTTGGGCCAAACTGTTATTCTGTAACAGTATAAAGTACAGTATTTCACTCTGAAATTGGTGTAAAGTATCTTAAAATGGGAATACTCAATTCAATTACTTTAAAGTTTTACTAGTTGAATTCCACCACTAGACAAATCAAAGAGCAAATTAGCATATGAAATACTCTACACAGGAATTGCTCAATATAAAAGTGATTTAAGTGTGTGCTACCTGTGGGTCGGTCTCTACGTCCCGCTCATCCTCGTTTATCAGTAGCATGTACGGTTTCCGTGGCAACCCCGGAGCTTTGAGACCAATGAAGAAGAGCAGCCCGGTGCCGCTGTAGCGCAGCAGCCACAGGGCAAACTGCACCTGGGGGTCAAATAAAACACAACAGATTTAATCAGCATTTATTGAACAGATGTCAATACAGCTTTTTATAATACAAATACTCTATTAAATGTGTCTTTTATAAACACATAGACCAAGCCTCTGAGTCATTTACATCAACATGTCTTTTCATAAAAGTTACTGTAATAACATTTGTTCTAGGTTCATTTTAAAAAGGGGGTTTAAGGGTTAACATTCAATTGAGTAAAGCAGGAGTTCCCAAAGTGGGGGTCGCGAGATGATTACAAAATAAAAATGGAAAATAAAAAAAAAAAAAAAAAAAAAAATATTGATCACTTTTTTTTATACAATCATTATTAATAATAACGTTTGCATAGACATTTTCAGGGGCGGACTAGTGAGGGCGAAAAACTGAAATTCCCGCGAGAAGTGTGGAAAACTGAAATAATGTCACTAGCACCCCCAACCCCACGTCGACAGGGGGTCGCCAGTCTCTGGCACTGTTATTTTGGGGGTCTCGGGCTGAAGAGTTTGGGAACCCCTGGAGTAAAGCACAGTATACACAGTTTATGGAGGTATGAGTACATTTTGCTAAACAATATTTAAAACTAAAGACAGGTTAAATAATAAAAATACATATGTGTCAATGCTTTCACTTATATAACCAGGAAGTTGCTGACTCAGAGTGGGAGGTGCAATATGATTGGTTAACAGTGTAGCTTTTAGGATCTGAAAGTCAGATTGAACAATGACTCAGCAAAAACGTGGCTCTAGTCCTGCTCACTCACATTAATGTTGTGCATGTTTTGCATGCTAGCCTGAACCAATACCGGCTAAACTAGCAGAGCAGCAGGAGTGTCTGACACACCTTCATTTATTCTAGAATAATTAACTGACCTTTGTCCCTTTGTAGTTAAAGTACACAACATCAGACGTATAAAATATTACAGAAGTGATTTATTGCATTATGATGAAAGAAATTAACAAATAACTGAATAGATAGCAATGTAAAAAACATGTGACACGCTGGTACAAAGGAGAGCAGAGAAGTAAAACATAGGATCTATATGCAGTTCATAACATATAGATTATATTCAGTCTGAACATAGTATACAATTAGTGACTCAAATCTCTTTTTCTCCAACATATGGTGAAGCTGATGTGGCATTTGGCGTCTCCTCACCTGTTGCTGATTGTTCTCCATCCCCCACCACCAGTGAGGGCTGTACCAGGACACGAAAGCCAGGTTCTCCGCAGCGAAAGCCACGGCCCAGAACAGCAGCAGGGCCGCACTGTGGCCCCTGGTCCGGTCCATCAGCAGGGCCCGACGCCTCTCCACCCTCAGCAGGGCTATAGACCAGGCCCAGCCCAGCGCAGAGAAGCAGCCGTACAGCACCACGTACCCCGGGAGCTCCCCCCCACTGGCCGCCCGCCACACCATCAACCCCAGGAACTGGAGCAGCAGGAGGCCGGAGACAAACTGCTGGAACCCGTAGAGACGGGAGCGCGGGATGAATTTAGGTTCCATCGATGTGCCATACTTCTGGTAGAATATGCAGTGGATGGTGCCGAGGAAGAAGGCGATGGTTAGCAGGATGGTGGGGACCAGAGTGAAGTAGAAGCAGGGGGAGATGCCTTCATCCACCCAGGTTAGGGAGATGGAGGAATTGGCTTCGCAGTAGCTGTGCATGAACACCATGGCTGCAGCTGTGGAGGAACAGATATTATTTTCCTTAGATATATCTGTTTGCATCTCACAAATGTACACAAGCAGTATTTATTCCACTGTACAGTATTTCATTTTACATTCTGTTCTTGTTTATCTTGTTCTATTTGACATGTATATATATGCTCCTGCATTCACTGGTATTGTATTTGACATGAACATAGTTCACTTCTCCTGCATTACTTGCAAATTGGTCATGTTTTATGTCTAATATATATTCATGGTGACTGTTGGAGGAGCCTGGGACTTAAGATTTTCATTGCCCTAACTTCACTGTAGCTACTTTGCATATGACAATAAAGCCTTTGAATCTTGAATGAAGAAATAAAAAAACTAACAAAGAAAAAGGCACCACGAGAAGCATGTCTTTCAGAGGCTCTACACATACAGTTATTTAGCTGTATATTTACCTTAATGACCAGGAGCTTGCTGTCCACTTCACAGTCGATGCTAACACTCCAGTGTCAGTAACAGAGGTTACTGAACAAGTCCACTCAAAGAGGTTAGCTGCTAGCTGTTAGCTTTGTCGGCTACACAGTTTCAACACAAAATACCGATTATAACGAGAAAGACTGGGAAGAGTATAAGAAATACCTAGAAATAATTCTGTCATCGCTTACATCTACAGTCTGTACTCATGTTGTGAGCGCTGTTGTCCTTGTTGCGTGCATGTTAAACAACACCCATCCATGACTCGGCAATCGGTGCTTTACGAAACTGGGGTTTGACTGCATGGTCTGGGGCTGAGCGGCACTCAGCGCCCTCTGGTGGTCAAAACCAGACATGACTCATGGAGGCAGGAAGGGACAAACATGGACACAGTTTGAAAAAAAGGAAGAAATTAACATTGGTGCAAGAAGTATTCATATATTTTACTTAAGTATAAGCAGTAATACCACAGTATACATATTCCACTTTAGGTTAAGTTCAGAATTTACTACCCGGATGTACTCAAAGGATAAAGTACTCAATATGCAGAATTGGCACATTCCCAATCATACATTTTTCATAAACGTACATGATTTAAAAACATGTTTTTGCATTAAAGTGTAGCATCCTATGTTGAAAAAAAAATCTGAAATGTTCCTATTTCATTTGTTTTGGACCAAACTGTTATTCTGTAACTTGTGTAGTGGAGTAAAAAGTACAGTATTTCCCTCTGAAATTGGTGTAAAGTGTCTTAAATGGGAATGCTTGATTAAATTACGAATACTTTTAAGTTTTAATAGTTGAAAATCACCACTAGACATTAAATGCAAATCAAAATAAACCTTAAACTAAACCCAAACTTTGCAATGGTGATGTTGTAATCAATTCGTTCAGTGTTTCCCTTATTTTCAGTTAAAATTACATGTACATAATTAACCAAGTATCACTCTTATTCCATACAAAGGATGATGTGTATCTTTTTCAATGGATTGTATATAAAATGGTAAATGCAATCTAGAAAAATAAGAACGTGCAATGCTCCAAGGTGATCACTAGATGGAAATAAATACTAAGGTATAACCAGAGGAGGCAATGTATGAGCAATAGTTAAGAAAAGCTCCTTGAGGTTGTAAAAAAAAAAAACCTTGAGATGGAACAAAATGTTATATTATATATAGCATGATATAAAACTCTAACAGTGTGTCACTTGTACTGCTATATTCAGTGAATGAGTGATTAATCATTATAGCAACATAGCCAAAGTCATTTTAAAGTCACACGAACATAAAAAGGGTGTGTAAGTTTCCCATCAAACTGTAAATTCAGGATTTAGTACAAAGAAAGGAAGTGACTCAAAAGCCATCTGTCGCGTCTGTGCTTCCTGTGAGGATGAATAAAAGACACCAGGGTGTATGTATGTGCGTATGTACCTGCTTGTAAAGGGAAATAATGGGAAGCGTATCCTGATGGAGTGAATCAGAAAAGAGCTTACTTCCACTCACACTTGCACACACACACACACAGGACACAGGCTGAGATGGAAAAGGGGTAAATCTTATCATTTAGAGCCTTCACAATGGGCATAAAGAGCTGCTAATCTGCTTCATCTCCCCGGCTCTTTTGTTGGAGTGGAAATGGACCTTCTGTCCATCGGCTGCATGTCACCCCGCTCCTTTGTCTCCCAGTGGATGTGATGGCCTGCCCCTCATCTCTCTCCTCTTCTGTGGGCGTCTCCAGCTCGATATACAGACTCAGCTGGAGCCCTGCTATAAGTCCTTTAGGTGTCTTCAATTCAATCCCACCTTTTCTCTCATTCTCATTTATGCTTCTTTGTCCGCGTGAGGCTGCCTGACACATATGGATGGTAACAGGCGGGGATAAGACGGATGTGTATGCCAATATAATCCCTTGATTTAGTACGAAAAGAATAGTGGTGGTGTTCGGAAAGCTACGTCCAATCTAATTAGTAATACTAAGGGCGATCAATATAGCTTTCGGTTGTGCTGAATGTCGTATTCACTGAAGGAGTGAGCTCGTGAATACAGTTCTTACCAGCGGCTCACGAGCAGATGACCTTTGACTCCTTTAATACTCGTGAATCTATTGTGTGGCTGTTGGATGAGCTTTCTCTGCAACAGCGCTGAGGAACCATCATTTTTCATTTACCATCCGAATAGAAGCGAATAAGCCATCGTTTTGTTATTCATGAATCATGTGCCAGAAAAGCAAGATTTTATTCTATTTCTCAGATATTTTGAAGGTATGATGCTACATCATATTCAGGCATGTCTCCAAAGTCTTTACTCATGCCACAGCTTCACACTATACGTCTGTTTTTCAAGCTTATCTGCCAGATCCAAAGTCAAAAACAGACTCTCCTGGAAAAGTATATGCGCCACGTCCTTGGTTAAGACATCTGGTCTACACTTGGCTGTCTGCAGGGGAATTCTCCATTCACAAAGTTTTCAACCTGTTTCATCATCCTGGTAGTGAATGGACCACCTACAGTTTGTGTGCTGAGTAAAGGCATGTCTGGACTAACAGATTCTTCCTGTGAGGGGATAATAAAGAATTAAATGTTTTGACTTTTTGTAACCCAAGGCTTTTAACGTCTCAGCCCATGGGGTCGATGACCACCAGCGCTAGCGAGGGCTTTCCCCTCAGAGAGCCTCTCCACTCGGCTTGACATTGTGTCTCTGAGTCTGAGCTTGAACTGTGAGACCCCGGCCGCCCACTGAGAGATGTTCAGCCTCCTTCTCCTGCTGCGAAGAGAGCAGCGGCGGGGAGAGGGTCTCCTGTCAAACTGCTCTCGATAAACACAAAGGGACTACCCACAGCAGTCCTCTTCATAGACAGGAGATAGTCTGAGGGGAAAAGAGGGGATTTGGAGTAAGAAGTGAGAGGAGAGGGTGTGTGTGTGTGTGTGTGTGTGTGTGTACAAGATAACACAGATAAGAGAAGGCATATTGAGGCCCCAGTGTGTGGGTGAGTCTGTCACAGGTACACAGGGAGATAGGCCGAGACAGAGAGGTATTGTTAACCTCACTTCAGACACAATAGACTGGAAAACTAGCAGCACCTTTTTCCTCCACACACACACATCGGGCCTTTCTCATTTCACTCATTTCCCCTCCTCGACTCCTATCCTCGACTCCTATCCTCGTGTCTTAGTCCCGCCCACAGGAGATCCGAGCGGAGGAGCCGAGGAGGGGAACCGAGGAGAGAGGAGGGGAAGCAGCAGGCGGTTAGAGAAATGAGAACTCCTCTCCTCTGAGCGGTCATTTTAAAGAGACGTCCGTTAATGATGACAGGAGGCACAGCAGCACTCTGTCTGATGGACAGATGTGTTCATGACCACTTATATGTTTACTTTTAATTCATTCACAGTGCGGTATGATGAGACAATAACAGGCTACAGATGCAGACATACACACACATATTTAAAAAGGTATATATATATTTATATAAATATATGCAATTTCAGAATCAAACAAGTATGAGAGCACTCTCATAATAACGTAACACTATCAGAGACCCCTCTCTGGTCGCTACAATGAGGAAATGAAATTATGGGCCAAAAGTTTTATTTAGAAGTATTAAAAGTAAGCATAAAACACACACACACACACACACACACACACACACACACACACAGCTTTGTCTTTCATTTCTTTGTGTAAAAGCAGTCATTTACATGCCACACCTGTCATCTTGGAAATATCTTAGCTTCTACCACAAGAGGCAGTCTCTCATTATAACAATACCTGTTGCTGCCTGAGACAATGGGTATGCAGATAAACAGAAAATAATGTAATGAAATTGCTAGTTGTTAGTTTGTATGTTATGCACAAGATGTCACAGGAGTATGATATAGGAAATTGAGAGGAAGAATATTAGGGTGTCTGCAATGCTGCACTACAGATTTAAAGAGGCCCTGTAATGCTATTTTGCAGATTTCAATTTAGTACCTCAAACTTGCACTGCCACTACCCTTGCCCAGAGTCACACGTTCACACTTAAGAGTGATTTATCCTTAACAACTTTGAATAATGGAGTATGAAGTGAGAAGTCTTAAATGAGCTGGAAGTGCTGCCATGATCCTCCACCCAGAAGATTAGGAGGAGGCACCTTCCTGCATGAGCGGCTGTGCAGCCATGGAGCAGAGTGTCTCTTTCATCTCTTTCCTCTGGCCCCCGGGCTGATGGGTAAATGCGTTTGTGCATTACGGAGAGGGGAAGGCCATCCATCATGGCTACGTGTGTGTGCAGCGTGTGTGCTGATTGTATGCAGGTAGCGTTGCTCTTCTCAAGGCTTTAGTACTTTAGTTTGGTTATGGAAGGGGAGGGGGAGGCCTTCCGGGTAGATGCAAGGCAGGCAGAGCATCTGGAGACAAGGACTCTCACTGGTGTCAGGCGGGGGCGGGTTATTTATTTGGTTGGGGGTCGTGGGAATCCTGGAAGCATCTTCGTGCTGATGAAGAACTGATGCTCTCAGACACATTGCGGTGCCATGGCGGTGTGTTTCGTGTCAGAGGCTACCTTTACAGCAGCAGATGTTGTCAGGCTGATTTGTGGGAAGGAATGCAATGAGAAACATACACTTATGTATATACTGTGCTGACACAAACAGAATATATCACTTCTTATTCATGAGATATGGGAGCTGGTTGTTTTTGACAGTCTCCAGTCACAACTCAGCAGGGGACACGCCTGTGCAGGAGGAACACTTATATTCTGTCTCCTTTGCAAAGTTTTTCAAGAAAATCGTATTTTGGACACAAATGGCTGGAAAATGCAGGTAAAAAAAAGCAGTGCAGAAGTGGATTTATATGCGCATAATTTGCTAAACCTTTTTGTATTTTTACTTCCATATAAAGGGAGGCAATCCACTCAATACAGAGGCGCCGAGAGCAGAAGCACTTCTTATTATTGGCAAGGAGCCGAGAGAGAGGCAGATACTGTAGTTTGACCTGCTGAACTCACGCTTTTTTAGCATGCCAAGCTCTGTGGGGCTAGCGCGCAACATCACATGCTAATGCTATTCCTCTTGTTTACATTGAGTAAACTTAAGACCAACAAATCAGCCAAGGTGGGAGGACACATGGGAGTTAAACCTGTGAATGCAAAAACAAGCGGATCTGTTCATGCAAAGCAGACACAGCCATACACATCAGTTGTTATGTCACACTCTTGTTGTTTTCTCTCCCTGTGTGTGTGTGTGTTCATAGGAGAGGGCAGGTGGTGCCTAGCTCCCCCTGGTTCCATCCTCTG